CTGTTGGTTAACATCAGCAGTCTAGGATGTAATTTCTTAACATCTAAGCCATGCCTCTTAGTAATTGGGTCTCCAAACTTTATGCTTACCCCCTTCTCTCTCTTTCTGTATTCTAATCATTTGAGACATTAATCTTAATTAATTTATTATTAAAAATGTACATGTTCCCCCATTTTTCTCAGTTTACAACCTGACTACAACTCCATAGCTGGTGTAAATACTGATCACGAGTGATGGGTTTATATCAGCCAAGCTTACCTTGGTGCAATTTGGATTTGATCGTTAATTTTGTACTGCTTGCAACAGTTAACATTAAGATGTTTTCCTTTTAACACTCAACAGATTGTCTTCCTGCATACTGTTATCATTTCATTGTACATGTTGGTTTGGTATCAGCCTCTTTGCCCAGTGCATCATGGTACTGATATTTTAATAGTTGGATTAACAATCAGGATCAAAACCCCATCTAGGTTCAGGGTGAAAGATATGGGCCCTTAGGAGAACAGGTAACTCAAAAGACAAGGTACCCTACCACTCACTTTCTCCAGACAGCTGATGGAAACAGGTCGTGGGGACCCGTATTGAGGCTTTCAAGATACTTGAGAGCTTCCCCATGAATCTCGGAAGCTCTCATTCTCTCTCTCCAAAAGGAAAACTTTCCTCCTTTCCTTTTCCCCTCTCTCTCACTGTCCACCAGCCAGCATAGGGAATTCCATCCAGGAGCCCTCATGTAGGGTGGGGGTGGGGGTGGAGGGGATGAAGGGGTGAATGGATTTTCCCCTTCCCTTCCCTCCCTCTCTTTCCACCAACCAGCATAGGAGAAGCCAAAGTATTCACTTGGCTGTATCCTTAAGTGCTGGGAGATGCTTTGATCCTGCTAACCAAAAGTAAGATGACTGGTTCTCTTCATAGCCCATTTGGAATTATTTACTATTCTTTACATCCTGTCAAAACCTTAAGGTATTTTTCTGATACCACACAAAAAAACTAAGTTTAAACTAAGGAAAAATTCTTTTAAATGGTTCTAATACTACTAGTGCCTTGTACATGTACCTAAATGATATCATTTACAAAGTTAAAAATGTATACATATATACAACTATAGTTCATTTATCTAAGGTATATTCTATCTAATAAGGTCTCTGACATTTCTGCTCTTTATAATAAATGCTCAAAGTTCTGCTATTTAGGCCTGACATCTGTCTGCCAGATAAACATTGGTTACCTGACATCTGTTCATCAGATAAACGTTTTATCTGACATTGGCTAGATAAACATTGTTTTATATATAATACAATATGCGATTGAGTATCAAAACAGGGGCTATTTAACATTGCTTTCTCATAACCATTAGAAAATTTAGAGTTTTTAATTATCAGTATCGTGTTGACACTGCTATGTTGACAGTACTGACAACCACTAACTTGTTACCTTACCTAACCAAAATTCAAGGTTTAAACTGTGATTAACCATGGTTACTTTGAGTTTTGTCATTACAGTTCTGATCCTTCAGGAACATTTACAGGCAAGCCCATGAAAAATGACTTTGACAAGTGCCTATCTATCAATCAGGACAGACATTCTTAAGTATTGGGGTCGTTTTGTATTTTCCTTGTAAAAACTTTATAACTGTTATCTGTTGACACTTTACAACAATGTAGAGGTGACAGTACCTCCCCATGGGACAGATAATTACATTTAACTGTCCAGCCTAAGAGTCATTATAAAAAATAAATCTCTTTGTTGTTTAATTTGGCCAAAAAGGTCACATTGGTACTGACTTCTGATCTCTTCAATGTGTTACTTCCCCTCCTCTGTGGGACAAAATCTGACTTTCTGGGAGAAGCCAGTCCATCTCTCAGGGACAAAATTGCCAAATGGGCAGAATCTTCAGAGACAACTGATCAGACAAAGAGTTTAAGAGGATGCTACCCCTGAGCAGTCAGTGTTCCCCAACTTCTCAGAGGAACAAGTGGCCTTCAGCCACCCGAGACAGTTCAAAAGGACTGCACAAATGAGGGGACATCTCCAGACCCAGCTGGAGTCAATTATGCCAGACCTCTGAAAGTAACCAAAGCCGAGAGATTTTTAAAAAGGGGCTCTTACACAGATACTTTAATATTTAACCCTTCTGGGCTTCTGGCAAAAGGTAAACTCATGCCTTCCGTTTAAGCAAAGGCAACAGAACTTTCGATGGTATCTAACTTCTGCTCAGGGATGCTAAGAGCCTTCTGTACAGAACTGACTCACTGATGTTTACTCTCCAATTGTACTCACACCCGGTCCCTCATATACCTAATGTAGTCAGCCTTTAACTGCCCACTATAGTGATAGTCAAAAATAGAGGGCCACCTAAGAGTTAAAAATAGCTAACCATAAGACTCTGTCACTTCTCAAAATAAAAAATTAGATTCTTTATCCTTCCTGCTATATCTGGCAGGGCCCCTTCTGAAGCTCCCGTCAGTGTTAATGTTCAGGTCATGCCTTCTAAACCAAATTTACCCCTTCCAGAAAAAAAGCCTTAGGACCCAAATCATGAGGCAACAGGGCTATTGATCTCTACGGATGAACGAGATCTCCGTGAGGGACCCTACCTATGCTGGACAATATTCAGACACCTTGTGTCCAAACACATCCCCAGGGAAAGAAATAGGAGAGACAATTTCCCTATATAGGTAGGGTTTGCTGCCCCTTGTCAGCTGGAAACAGACACTGAAGATGGACTACCCCCCTTTAGCAACCCCCCAAAAAGAATTTTTTGGAATATTGTCTCTCAGGGGGAATTTGAAGCAGGATAGAAGTTGGAAAAGTTTGGGGCTCACGTAGGTTGCCTGACGATGACCTAGACCACCCACACCTGAGTGAGAACTGCCCACGCCCCTCCCCACTCATTCATTACTGGGTGGGAATCTCCTGGATCTGCCCGCCCCATGGGTTAGTGTAGGTTTCAAAAACATCTGAAAAAGAAAAGCATGCTCTCTCTGTCTGCAGACTCCACCTGTGCCCACCCTGCTTCTTTGTATTTCCCTTTCCCTAACTTGTAATAAACCCCATTTACACCCATTCGTCTGCTTGGATTCTTCCATGCTGGAATGCAAGAACCAAGTTCTTCTGAAAACACCATTTTCTGTTATCAATAGGAATTTGGTCCTCAGTACAGTGACGTTAAGAGGGAGTGAGACTTTATAGAGGTGGGGTGTAGGGAGGCCAGAATGGCTCAAGTGGTAAAGCACTGCCTAGCAAGCATGAGGCCCTGAGTTTAAACCCTAGTTCTGCTGAAAAAAGAGGTGGGGTGTAGTGGAAGCTTGTCACTGCATACTCCACTGTTTCTCCACAAACGTTCTCTCTCATCTCTCTCTCTCTCTCTCTCTCTCTCTCAGAATTGTGATATCATCTACCATGAGGTTCTCACCAGAGCCGATCCAATGCTGGTGCCGTGTCCTTTAGATCCAGAACTGAGCTAAATAAACTTTTTTTCTTTATAAACTAACAAGTCTCAGGTATTTCACTGTGGCCAAAGAAAATGAACTCATAAACTTGAGGCAGTCTGAATAGGTTAAAAATTACTGGGGCTCAGGCACCACGTGAGCTTTCCTAGTGGCAGAGCACTTTTCAGTTGCAAATCCCTTGCTTAAAACATGAATATTTCTCAAGAGCTTTCTTGAACTCCTGTTCCTCCTGACCTAACTGGGGGCAACTGGAGTTGCAGAAAGAACCAAAGATAGACGAATGTGCATAAATTGGGATCAGGTGTGCTGGGCACTTGGATGGAAATACACACAGCCTTGTTGCTTTTTTACTTCTCTTCTTTTACTTAGCTTCTTTTCTTCTCTATTCTTTAAGACTTTACTTCCTTACCATTCTTTAAAACCTTGCTTCTTTCTTATTCTTTAAAGTCTCTCTCCTTAGACTCACACTGTCCCATGTTTTCTTTAATCTCTCTTAAAGTCTTGGCCCTCAGACTTGCACTGTCCCATGTTCTCTCTTAAAGTTTCTATCCTCAGACTTGCAGACACACACAGCCAGCAGCAACAGCAGCAGTGTCATTCTCACAAGCAGCCCACCAATCCAAAAAGCCATCAATCTCCCTGCATTCCTCTTCAGCAAGTCTTTTATATACAGTGGTAAAGAAGGAGGTGGAGCAGCAGTTCTCAGGGAGGGGCGTTCCATTGCAACAAGAGAATCCTGCATTACTCTTGGAATGTAAACAACTTAGGAAAATCAGCCATGCTGCATTTTGCCTTTGCCCCCTTCTGGGGCTGGGGCCATGCCAAACCAGCCTGTCAAGTTTCCATAGGCTTCTTATAATCTGCTCCCCACAGATATTGATCACACCCGTGCATGTAATTAATATACCTAAGCTAACACTTACGTATATTAAGTGCATGTGCAGAGTAATTCAAGTCCGTCAATCACCCTAGCCTGACCCACAGGAACCACCCAGATTTTCTGAGCTCTCTTGCTCTTCATCCCTCTCCCTCTTCTTCTGCCCCACCTGGCAGAAACCACATGGCAACCCTCACCTACAATAAACTTCATTATCTCCTTTACTATACTTATGTGTCCTGTCTGGATTCTTTCTATGCAGGATGCAAGAACCTAAGTGTCTTCTGAGCAGAGTTTCCAGAGATTACCAATCCTATGACACACTCAATGTGTTGCATACCTATTGCATATGCAATATCCATCTGGGCTCTTCCTTATCATCCATGTGGGACTTGAGGCAATGGGAACTGACACCAATATATTATGCTTGAAAGAATATATTACTGCTTGCTAGAATGGTCTTTTGTCTCTGACTCGGGAGTCTCGTGTCTTCTGCCATCGTGTATGAAACAAGGCAGGTCTGTTAGCCTTCAAGTAGAGTAAAAATCTCAGCCCCTTCACAGTTCTTGGCAACTCGTAACAAAGGGTTGAAAAAAAAGCCTGGCTCCTCTAGAAATAGTGTTTGCTTCCTGGGATCACAAGTAGAATATGCACAAATGCGTATTCCCAGGCTTTCATGGTCCAGCCTCCCCTGGCACAGGTTCCTCACCTGGGAACTCTGAGAGGGTAGTCCACAGCAGGTCCATGTAGTCCTCCTCACTCAGGTACTCACAGGCCAGGCTGCATTTTGCTTCGATTGCCTTCGTCCGACTGGAGACTGGGGTGGGGGAAGGGGAAGAAGAATAGTCACAGTGTTGAACTGAGGCAGGATAGAAGTAGAAAAGCTGGGGCTCGTGCAGGTCACCTGGGGACGAGACAGATCACCCTCACCTGCCCAGGAATCACCTGTGCCTTTCCCCACTTGTTCATTATTGGGTGGGAACCTCCCGGGTCTGCCCTCCCATGGGGTAGTGTAGGTTTTAAAGGCACCTGAAAAGGAAAAGCTCTCTCTCTCTCTCTGCCCGCAGACTCCACCTGTGCCCACCCTTCTTCTTCCCTTTCCTCACCTGGCAGAACAGGTGACTCCTCTTCCCCCAATAAAGCTATCCTACCTCACCCCATCTATGTGCTCTGCTTGCATTTTTCCATTTGGAGCACAAAAACCAGGATCTTCTGATCACAGACTGCACCAGCGCAGGAAACATTTGGTGAGCCAGCCAGGAGAAAGTGACCAGCAAGATCCCAATATGCTATCTCTGCCAATCTTTATTTTAACGCACCTTTCTCTGTCCTCTGGTACCTCGCTTGACCAACTGATGCTTCAGAACTAAATGCCACTTATGGCTTGGATGGTAGGGGACCCTCACACTGGGGCATTCACCAGATACTCAGGGCTTTTTTGGAGCCCTGGCATAGATGGACTGCACAATGATTGGCAGGATGCAACATTTGCCATCAGGACTCAGGAGCTCCTGCAAGTGCCCAAGGCACAGGACAGGGTTCATGTCAGGGTTCCCTGGTCCTGCCCCAGGGGATGGACCATGTTAAAAGCTGGTTGCCCCTTCCCCAACCCTACCTTCCCTAGCCCTCAATCCCTCCCCCATCCTTTCCTTCATTGCACCCTGAGAAACCTAACTCCCAGGTCCCTACTCCCCCACACACGTGATTAGGAATGCCTAGGGCTGAGTTTCTTGCCCCTCCCCCTCCTTTTCTCTCCTCTAACCAGTGGTTTTAGAGGGCCAATGGAGCCACCACTGCCTGGGCTACTGGAGCCTGAGTTGCCACCTTCTCTCCTGGCTACAGTTGCAAGGGGTGGGCCTCAGCAGGCCGTAGCTCAGTCCCACCCCAAGACTAAAAGTTCCCGTCCACCAGCAGTGGCTGGTGCCAGCAGAGGTACGGCACAATGTTAAAGCTGTCGCCTCTGGTGGCTGCCGCCCTGCACCCCAGGCTAGGACTGTTTCTTCCTGTGGGTACCATGGGTCCCTCCTCCTCAAAATCACTCCCTTCCTAGAATTTTGGGCTGAATCTCTCCATCACTCTCCCCCCATCCTTCCTTCTTTCTCTCCCTAAATGGCAGTTTTTAAAAGGCAAATGGGAAGCACACCTTGGCCAGCCCCATCCAGCAACAGGTTTTTCTTAAGAAAAAGCCTGCTGGCAGCTGGGGATGGTTGGGCACACAGGGCTTCCTGGGACCCCACTGGGACTGGAAAAACGCAGTGTGGCATAGGCTGCGCAGTTTCCTGGCTGCCCACTAGAGGAAAAAATCACACCTGTGGCTCGTTATGGTGCCCGTGCAAGATTATCCAGTTGGCCACTTGGGATAACCGCACCTGCGTGCATGAGGTCCACACAGTTTCCCAGATGGGTAGTCCCAATAGCCTCATGGCCAAGGCCGAGTTTTTCTCAACCCGCACCTGGGGCAGACGAAAGTCCCTGCCTAACCAAACCGCCTTCTCCCTATCTGCAACCTTATGTTCCCTTTCTCTGACCCACTCTCTTACCCACCCACCCTCCACGCCTGTCTACCCTAACCACCCTATCTAAATTCTCGCTTATGCTCACCTTACCCCCATAGCCTGCAGGAGTCACAGAAATGCTCACACTGAGGTCACACACCCTTGTCCCAGGGCTAACAAGAACTTGTCTGCCTATCTTAGCCAGAGATTCTAAATTCCATTCAAAGGTAAAATCTAAATTAACATATAGGTTACATCTATGTAGCTGTGGTGTTAATTGTTGCTGTCCTTAAATGTTAAATGCATTTAAATTCTCTAAAGCATGTTTCCTAAAATTAAAAAACAGTGCCACTTAAGGATTTATTATTGGTCACCCATAAAGTATATCAATAAAAAAATCACTGTAACTTATTTAAAATTAATTTACTCTAAATGAAAAATTAAGAAAAAATTATTAATACAAGGTCATCTTTTTACAACAAACTATAATGCTAATTAATGCTGTCCATCACAATTATTAGTCTAAAATGAGATATACAACAAACCTTTAAAACCATTCTAACCTTAACTGTTCTCTGCAGATAAAATTAGGCTTACAGCCAAGAGGTTAAAGAAAATGGGTTTTTATATGTGGACATTTTAAATAGATAATTTAATTAGAGGTTTTATTCTTAACAATTATTTTTGTTTTAAAATTAATAAAACTGTTCTCTATTGCTCAGTGCAGCATGTCAGATTCTGAACTTGTTTAAGGTCCTTTCCAAACTGTAGCTCTGTAAGTGGCTGGGCTCCACAGGGTTTGGATTCTTGGCTTTCTAGGTGATCACAAAGCTCCCTTATGAGGAGGTCCAGGATCGAATTATAAATACCTGGAGTAAACTAGACACTAACAAAACCTTTTAAATCCCACCTTAGCTTGCTTCAATTTATCTGGCCTTTTCATTAGCATGCCTACCTCCTGGACAGCTGTCTCTCAGGGGGAGATATCTTTTACCTCTATAGTAGACTGCTATTTTGAGCCTGTGTGTTGTATGTAACATGTCTTTGTGTTCTGGAGTGAGATTTTTCTCACTCCTGGTTACTACTGAACCTAACTGGGGCTAACTGGGTGGCAAAAAAGGAGATGCAGAAAGAACAAAGGGTAGACAGACAGAAAGTTGAGGGCAGGTGTGTTGGGCGCTCAGGTGAAGATGCACAATCCTCATTGCTTCTTTTCTCTATTATTCTGTTCATTTACTCTGCTTATCTCTATCTTTATTCTTTAAGGCCTTACTCCTTTGCAATTCTTTAAAACCTTGCTTCTAAAGTCTTTCCTTAAAACCTTGCTTTTAAAGTCTTCTTTTCTGTTCTTTAAAACCTTGCTTCTCTATTCTTTAAAACTTCTTTCCTTTGACTCATTCTGTCCCATGTTTTCTCTTAGCTTTTCTTTAGCATAATCTCTCTTAAAGCCTCTGTGCTCAGACTTGCCCTGTCCCATGTTCTCTGTAGCTTTTCTTTAGCTTAGCTTCTCTAAAACCTATGTATGAAGTTCTCAGGGCAGACTTTCTAGCAACCCCTCTTTAGCAATTCCCCTTTAGCAATTCTCCTTCGCAATCCTTTTCTTTTAGGCAATTGTTTTCCCTTCTAAAGCCTCCCACATCAAAAAGCCTCCCTTCATCCAAAAGCCAAAAGCCAAAAGCAAAAGCCCAAAGCAAAAGCAACAGCCTTAAGCAAAAAGCCCAAAGCGAAAAGCCTCCTGTCCTCTTTCAGTGAGTCTTTTATATCCAGTGGTAAACAGAGTGGAGCAGCAGTTCTCAGGGAGGGGTGTGACATTGTAACAGGAGAAACCTGCATTCCTGTTCTCTGAAATTAAACAATTTAGGAGAAGCAGCTGTTCTGCATTTTCCTCTTCTGTGGCCCGGGCTGTGCCAGTCTCAGCCTACAGATAAACATCTTAGGAAAAGCAACTGAGCTAGATCTTGCCTTGCTTATGTCCAGTTCTCATAGGCTTCTCATAATCCACTTTCCACAGTGTTCCATTTGAAAGACCCTTTGGAGAGACCATATGATCACAGGAAATACCACCGTGAAGGAGCCACCATGTGTTCAGCACCATCTTGCCACTCCCTAGGAATAGGAAACTCATGGGTGATGACATCTTGCCTTATTCTAGGAAATTTATAACTAACTTGTGGTTAAAATTCTGTAGGTCAATATAATTTCTGTACATGTTGTTTTTACTGCATTAATCTGTTAAGGATTGAGCCAAAAGGAGAGAGTATTTATGTTAAAGATCTGTTATAAACTACTTAGGAATCTAGCTGACTAATCTTCTAAAAATAATGATAAAGAAATGGTTTAAGGGTACACTAAATTAATGTGACTATTTGTGTGTTAATGTGTGTTTTCTGTGTGTCTTTATCTCCCACCAATTGTGGCCACTTCATTTTTACTTTCTTCAGTTCATTTCATGTGCATGTATTCTTTGGCATGCCTAGGTCGTAACATTTGTGTGTCTGTGTGTGTTTAGATGTCTTTAGGATGGTTCTTAAGCTCTTTTATAAAATTAATGTGCACAACTGTCTCAAAGGTTATCTAAAGTTCTAATCCCAACCAGGCCTAATTATTCTCTGCCTTAGAATTAAAAATAATTTTATAACCAATAATCTCGACCTGTTTTATTCTACCATGAGTGTAATTTACATTTAACTCTTTTATAATTGGGTTTATTCCCTCTTACACTGTTGGTGGGAATGTAGACTAGTACAACCACTCTGGAAAAAAATTTGGAGGCTACTTAAAAAGCTGGACATCGATCTACCATTTGATCCAGCAATACCACTCTTGGGGATATACCCAAAAGACTGTTACTCCAGAGGCACCTACACATCCATGTTTATTGCGGCACTATTCACAATAGCCAAGTTATGGAAACAGCCAAGATGCCCCACCACTGATGAATGGATTAAGAAAATGTGGTATCTATACACAATGGAATTTTATGCAGCCATGAAGAGGAACGAAATGTTATCATTCGCTGGTAAATGGATGGAATTGGAGAACATCATTCTGAGTGAGGTTAGCCTGGCTCAAAAAACCAAAAATCGTATGTTCTCCCTCATATGTGGACATTAGATCAAGGGCAAACACAACAAGGGGATTGGACTATGAGCACATGATAAAAGCGAGAGCACACAAGGGAGGGGTGAGGATAGGTAAGACACCTAAAAAACTAGCTAGCATTTGTTGCCCTTAATGCAGAGAAACTAAAGCAGATACCTTAAAGCAACTGAGGCCAATAGGAAAAGGGGACCAGGAACTAGAGAAAAGGTGAGATCAAAAA